AACAGAACAACACTATCAACAAATATCCTTCAAACAATTCCACAAATACAATGTTTGATGTTAAAAATCTAAGAACTATATACAATTGAAAAGGGAGTAATTATGCTGTTGAAGCTCCATAAATTCACATTCATTCATGTAATAATTTGCAGATTTAAGATGTTACATAAAATTATTTACACTTGCTCAATAATGTATGGGATCGACACTGATGTAATGTTGACAGCACAAGACCAATCCAACAGAATGAGTTATTTGGTTTTAAGCCCTGCTTTAAACAGTATACCAGTTATATCATGGCTAACAGCTGAATGTGGGAGGAGACCATGACTGACTGACAGACTGACTGACTGAGTTGGGTTTTACGCCGCTTTTAGCAATATTCCAGCAACATCACGGCGGGGGACACCAGAAATGGGCTTCACACATTGTTCCCATGTTGGGAATCGAGCCTGGGTCTTTGGCATGACGAGCGAAAGCTTTAACCACTGGGCTACCCAACACCCCGTAACGCAAGCTGAAGACAATCAGCACTTTGGTAAACCAAAGCTTGGTGCTGACACACCTAGAAATACATTCAAAGTGAATCAGTATTCAAACCCACATTCATAGGATCCGGGCACACCTAAGGAATGGAACTCTATACAACAAACTTCACAGTTCAGAGAAGCTGACTACCCCAATCAGAAGACAACTGTACCAGTGAGGCAAGTAAGAGTGAAAAAAGACATGTATTTCAATAGAAACCAAATAATCAAGAACTATTACAAATGTAAATCACCATGGTGGTTCTCATTCATGCATTAGCAGCTAATTCTAATGGTACAAACTTCAAACATGATCACAGAAGATAAATTTTCGAATAGGAAACATTAAAACTCTTCATTTACTGTTTCATTTAATTCAACATAAAGACATCTAGACACAGCTTGTATATTATCACATTATGAAGTTACTAAAGCACTTTCTGCCACCCATGTCCCTATACCAAAAGGACGAGACATTAACAAGAATCAAAAGGTATCTAATCCGAGAAAAATATTTTTGTGAATGAATGAGAGGATATGAAAGATGATAGATTAAATAACATTTTAACGATATCGTTAGAGATCACAAAGAGAGACAGTGGAGAATGATTTAACATCCAAGAAGTCTACCCGATGACCACAGTGAGGCTGTGAGACATTTACCACTTTGTGAACCCATCTGGAGAGGTAAGATGCTGACACAGGAAAGACCATGCATCTGGGATTCAAACCCAGGACCAGCAGATCCTGGGCCAAGTACAGAACAACTATGCATAGTGAGCTGACTCAGACAAAAGGGATTCATTATGGGTACAAGACAAAGCCAATTCATTGCATTGAAGACATTATGACAAGCTTGAGTGAAGATGCTAATATGCTGGACACACCCTAAATCAAAGACTAACTCAAACAGCAATGAAACCTCCCAAACTCCAAGTCATCACTGAAAATTTGTCAAGTCAACTGCAGTTTAAAAAAACCCAGACAACAGTCTCAGACGACAGGCAGCATTTCTGATGAATATACCATTCCCATAGGGGTATGTCCTTTTTCAGACAGTTCTGGATGATAACTGTTACTTCAGGGTGGAAAAAGGTCCTTTCACACATCATGTCTAACTGGAAACAAAGTTCAGAAACAGATACTTCTAAAACCAAAGGTATACCAGTCAATATCCTGGGCATAATAACCACAGATAATGAGTTTTACCAAGATAGTGAGTGAGTGAGTTTGGTTTTACGCCGCTTTTAGCAATATTCCAGCAATATCACAGCAGGGGACACCAGAAATGGGCTTCACCAAAAACGTATATACGTCTTTGGTTTCACACATTCTACCCATGAGGAGAATCGAACCCAGGTCTTCTGCATGATGAGTGAACGCTTTAACCACTAGGCTACCCCACCTTCCCTCATCCAAGATAACACAGTAACATTAAAACAAAGTGAATTAATGGATTTTGATTCAATAAGATATAGTTATAGGCACCTTTTGAAAGATCAGTTTGAAGTTCAATACAAACTATGTTCAGAGTACACATATGCTACTCAAAGACTCCAAGGAACACCCGACTGTCACATGATTACAGTTAATCTGTCATGCTAGTTCACTGTAGGCACAAGAGATCAGTAGTTGTTCTTAACTTCCTTTGAGTAGTATATCTGAACTTTTGTTTTGGCATAAATTTGAAAAATTAGAAAGCTGTGATACATTTTGATTACATCTAATCATAACATGACCCGGGCTAAAATATATTTGATTTTCTCTATGTGGCATTCACACCAACACAAGATTAAGAACACTAGCAGATACCTGTAGAGTAAATTTCCCATATATACAACACAGTGGTCCATTACTACAGAAACCATCCTATATTGATGCAATATCTTCGATACCTGCCTTGTAAAGTTGCTTCTTTACAAACTGAATTATTAACTGCTGTTTGGATGAACAACTCGGAGTAGGTTCTAACACCGTTATCAAGCAACCTACACCAAAACGTCGCTCTCACAGCAATAAAGAAGTTGTTCATCCATATATTATAAATGCCTCTCAAAGACGTTAACTGCTGTTTGTATATATATCACTACATGGTTTTCAAACAATGCATCTTTTTCAAAGTTTTTATCACTGAAAGTCCTCAATATCTGTAAACCTTTCCATCACAGGATTTTGATTTTACGTTGCATTATTCCAGCAAAGGGGCAGGGGAAATGGGCTTCACACACTGTAATATGATAATCAGCAGTGTCATGATCAGACTATTTAACCTCTAAACTAACATACTGCCCCTACAATCTACAATAAATGATGATTAACTCAACATTAATTGACTATTTATTGTTTTAGGTGCACTTTCTTGACATATTTCACTTGGCAGAATTTGGTTCAAATATTTGTAATAATTCCATTTGTATCATGCTAGCTGGCTTCTCAGAATTACTATCACTTAATCCTTGTCTTTTGGTCTTGTTTTAAGCCTGATAGAAAATTCACTAGACACGGGCATCAGGCAAGATGAAATGTACACACGAATAAGAAGACAGCCACTTATCATGTTCATATCACAACACTTACTAAATATTCAGGAAGAAAACATGGTGTCCATTCTTTCAAATAGTCATGTATAACAGAGATTTTTGTATTCAGTATTTCACAGAAAGAAAAAAACCAGGGAACATACTTTTCACTACCACTAGAATAATATTGTGACAGTGGTAATTCTTGTAGAACAACTTGCAGAAGTTAAATCCAATGCCTCATCCATTTAAGGAATCTTCACATTAATCTGAATTACTTAAAAAGTTCCATACCATCTTTATTAAGTTTTGTAAAACATATATATAAGTATCCGTTCAGCAGTTTAATCACCAGTGTTACAATTAATGAATAATACTGAAAATAGGACAGTCCAGCCTTATTCTAATGCCATAGTAGGTTATCATTCTCTTGTGGGACAAAGTGGACACCATAAAGAGAGTGAGTCAGTTTAGTTTTATGCCGCACTCAGCAATATTCCTGCTACATGTACCAGACAATCCAGTGATTAAAAGCATGAGCATCGATCTACGCAATTGGGATACAATGACATGTGTCAACCAAGTCAGCGAGCCTGACCACCAGATCCATGGGTTACTGAAGATTAATTCTAATCCGGATCTTCACGGGTGACCATAAAAGGAATTGAACAAGGCTTTGAAAAGTATTTCAGTCATTTTATGACTTGTAAAGATAATATAGACATATATAACGTATATATTTATAGAAAACAAAAGGTTTCTAGAATGTGTTGGTTCAAAGGAGTTCAATACTGAAATGTATACATCTGTCATTGTGTTGTTTGGGAGTTTGGCAATAAAATAAGGTTGGACTATTAAAATTCTGATTTGGGCTTACATAAACTCCATAAATGGAATCAACATATTTGTAATAGTTTATCAAAATAGTAATCTGACGGTTAGTTTATATCATACAAAGACATGGATAAATTGTCAAAAAGTATTTGATACTATTGACTTGACAAATATGATGACTGTAAGCTGTTTCCAAGGAAACTGCTATTATGTTCTATCTAATGGAAGCACTGTGATACCTAAAACCAAACTATTTCAGCAGTGACTTACGAGTTACACTGCATCAGACTCACGCTAATCTAAAATGGAACAAAAATCAAATTTCATGCTAGTTTCTCATCGCAGACTTCTAAACTGTCCTGAGGACAAGCGAAAATCAACAGATGGTATCCTTCATTAACTAGTAGAACTGAGGGCTTACATTTTGAACTGGAACTGAATATAACTGAAAGTAAATGTACACAAGGTAAATGTTTTTACCTCATTCATAATGTTGTAGTAGGACTAGCCACAAACTATGAGGAATAGTCAAATAAGGTTTACCATTGCTATCTGGACTAGTTTTGAAACCAAATATTTCAAAACATGCAGCCCAGACATTTAATATCTTACTGCTTCTTAGAATGCTGTTCTAGAAAACTGGAAAACTAGAAAATACATTCACTACCACATTACCACTGTTATACAAATCGTAACCATGGTAACAGAAACAAAAGCCTGAGTATCTGATGAACAAAATGCAATATGTAAACACAAGCTACAATGACTGCAAAGAAACTCCGACCTCTCCGTCTTACTAAATCACTTCAACACAGGTTTATATATCTAGTATACAAACCCATATATATGCTTGTACTGGTAGGTTACAAACAGAGTATTAAGCTGTTAATACCTAGCACCATTTCATTGTTAAATATGCCACATATTTACATGGATTGTTTGTATGAAGTTTAATGAAGTTCAATGAAGCCAACACAAGACAAAAGGACATGACTCCTGTAGAAAAGATTACATCAATAGTTTGTTTTATGAAGATTTACTGAATAATCTCCTGGTCCTTTCCTTTCTATATGGTTGAGCATAATAGGGACTGTGTCATGAATCAGAGTGGACAGTTTCATTTTGATAGAGAATTTTTAAAGCATAGCACTCATTTGATGATTTGACAGGAAAGCTCTATTTCAACCATTACCATACAAGCAATAGTTTGTTGTTTAATACAACACTCAGCAATGTTCAATGATCAAGTCAATCACACCACTGACATGAGCATTGATCTACTCAGTTGGGATACCATGGCAACCAAGTCAGCTAGTCTCATAACCAATCGCTATGACAAGCATGAGCTGCTGAAGACAGTTCTAACGGGATCTTTCTTCCAAGGGCAGAGATAATGGTAGTTCCCAACACATAATGGACATCAATGATTACTGGAGTAGGACAAAAGACCAAATCTCTCATACATAAACTTACTGATGATGTAAACCGATTGACATCGTTACAGTTCAGTATCACACCATCCTAGGATATTTAAAGACTGCTGCTGAACTTTAGACAGCAAAACCAATACTAGAGAGATGTTTATTTGTCGTTTTGTTTGTTGTTGTTGCTTAACCCTGCACTAAGCAATAGTGAATAAAAACATTTAATAGCTTCAAGAACTTAAACTACAGGAACCATTAATCATGGTCTACAATCTATAATCTTCCATGGAGAAATTACTGTACATGGTTAAATGTCCTGTTTGGATGGAAGAATATTTAACACAGGGATCTATATAGACCTCCTCAGGGGCTGAAACATGGCCCCAAATCTGTAAATTAATGTACCGACATGCAAAAATTCCAAAATAGGAATGAAGCTTTTTCCAGTTCATGCTGTTGTGGTTACCGCTACTGTCATAACTTTACAAGGGGACTTGCATTTCAAGATAACAGGGGCAACAGAGAGAAAGAGGTTTTCATTAATGTTAATGCATTAAACACTGTGTTAATGTACATCAAAACATGAAAAAGTTAGAAACTGAAAAATATCCAATACCAAAACAATTTTTCCCTATTTGCTTGAAACTACACTTAGTTTAGTATCCTAGGTATATCCCAGATATTCAACAGTTTTTAAATGAATCTGGAACACGGAAAACCAGTGGTTGAGAGTATGAACCTCTGAGCTCCTAGTGTAGATGTACCTATGAATTCAGGAAAATATTGATTAAAATCCCATTATTTTCAAAATGAAAGCAAGATTTTTCAAAATTCGCCCGAAAACAGCACATAATTTGTAATCTTTGAGTAATCTCTGTGACAGAAGAATTGTGTTCCCATCTGACTATCAATCACACAAAACGAACCCTGGAATAAAATTGTTATAGCAGGATCAACAACATTTGTAAAGACATCAGTCAAAAATGCTGCCAAAGTTTTTAATACAGAGAGCTGCTGTCAGGACTGACTGGCTTCAACTCGGGTCCGTTTGACAGCAGGTGGACTAGCTTCCTTATCAGAATCATTCTCCATATCGTCCCGGGACCGTTTCTGTCCTCCTTTGGGACCACACTGAGGACCAAAACAGGACTGTAACAACCAGCCCATATTGTTCTCCAGGAATGCACACAGGCCTGGTGGAAGGGGGAGCGCCTCGAGGACATTCAGGTGGTTCGGGATCAGTCTCCTCAACACCTGGCAACACATGAACTGGAGCGACGTCCGGAACGAGCGACACGTGACGACTTTCATGCCACTCCGGGCTGCAGTAGACGATACCATAGGAAACAGCGTCTTTCCTTGAAGCCCTCTAAATGCAACTCCTGCAATAGACATTTTTGAAGCTGTGAAAGAACCAATCTTAACAGTCTTGCATGGTATTAGCAGTATAATGCAAAACAATATTCTGCCCGTCTTCTGGTCTGTTGCTTAAGGAAATACAACAAACTTTGTTATTATATGGTAAGTTTCATGTAAAATCTACTCATGGCTCTATTCACAATATTCTCCCGTTTCTGGTCTGTTGCTTGAAGTTTTACAATACAACAAACTTTTGTTATTATATGGTAAGTTTCATGTAAAATCCACACATGGCTCTATTCACAAATGATGTTTCCTTTCACCATTGAGTGAGTGAGTTTAGTTTTACACCACATTCAGCAATATTCCACATATTGTAAATAATCAAGCCTGGACCAGAAAATCCAGTGATCAACAGCATGAGCATTGATCTATGCAACTTTCAAAATTGATTGACACAGAGGCACACACATGGATGTGATTTTCATATCATGTCTTCCCTGTATCCATGACTACAAAATGGCAACAACAGCCCATGCTGTGTAATAATTATTTCTGTTTGTAGAAAAAAAGCTGTATGTACAAAAAATGTCAATCTCTGTCAAACACTTTCATAGTAAATACTTTTCAATTTTATAATTCATTAAACAATGTTGACAAAAGGACAAGGTCTACAACCTCAAATGTGATCAAGCTGAACAGCCTTCATGTATAACAAACATGCACCTGAATAATGTTTTGAATGATGTGATTTGACCACAACTATATAGATATTTATATAGTGCACATATCCACGCAGCTAGTACATGCTCAAGGTGCTGGGATTTTTTCCCCTCAATCATTGGATGTCAATCTCAACGGTACATCATATTTCTCAACCTCATCTCCCTGGGGATCATACAACTCTTGCAGCCACTAGGCGCACCGAGTTATTGCGGATTTCTCATCCTAACGAGGTACCCATTCACAGCTGGGTGGACTTGGACACATAGTCACAGTACTTTGTCCAAGTTTACTGCACGTTGCTGTACCCTCAACTAGGTGTTTGCACATATTCATGTGGCCACCATTTGGTCATTTACCAACGGATTTGTGGGTTCTTTTAAGTGCACAGGGTTGTGTACTGTACACTAGGGTTGTGACAACACTGAAAGAGTCTGCACACAAACTTGACCCCAAGGTTTTTACACCCAGTCACAACGGGCTCGATCTAATGACCACAGCTACTAATGTACAATGGAGACTTTCTTTAACAGGCGTGACTGCCATTGTTGTAAACTGATTCATTTTGCTTTAAAATCAAGGAAATTCATTAACAGACAACCAAGGCTCACCCAAAGGTTTTCTGTTTTTGTAGAAAGACAGCATTCCGTGCCACATGTCCAGATGTACACCAATGATGGATCCCTGGCCAAACTTGGAAGCGTAGGCTTTCTTCAGACTCTTGTGGTGTATACTTCCACAGTAGGAGAGACCCCAACTCTCGCCATCTCGACCAATCAGACTGCAGAATATATGCTTGTACTTGTCCAGGTCCGTGTGTTGAGTACCGACACCCACCATCTGGAAATGATCATTTTGTCAGTATGTGAAAAATTAGTGACTAACAAACTGGCTACAAGTTTTGTATGAGTGAGTAAGTGAGTTTAGTTTTACGACGCACTCAGCAATATTCCAGCTATATGGCGGCGGTCTGTAAATAAACGAGTCTGGACCAGACAATCCAGAGATCAACAGCATGAGCATCGATCTGCGAAATTGGGATACAATGACATGTGTCAACCAAGCCAGCAAGCCTGACCACCCGATCCTGTTAGTCACCTCTTACAACAAGCATGGGTTACTGAAGGCTCCTTCTAACCCGGACCATCCCGGGTCTTTGGTCAAGTCTTGACACACATCTGGATTAGTCAGGGATCGAGTTTTGGAAGACTCCACTGCAGCAACAGTGTAATTTGTAAATCTTTCAAATGAATACAGAGGAACAAAAGATAGAATCAATTGTCTGATGCATAATATGCTGGACTAACAGACTCATATCCATCAACAGCAACACATTATCATATGTGATTTCCCCTTAACTCGGGGTGGTGGGGTAGCCTAGTGGTTAAAGTATTTGCTTGCAGCGTGAAAGGCCAAAGTTCGATTCTCCACATTGGTACAATGTGCGAAACCCATTTCTGGTGTGCCCCACCACATTGCTGGAATATTGCTAAAAGCGGCATAAAACCAAACTGACTCCCCTATACTCATGTAATAGAAGTAGTGCTTACCATGTCTGTTCCATAGACAGGTGTTGTCATTTTGACTTCCCAGAAATACTGATCATCTCTCATGGATTGTGACCCGCGGACCGCCGCTGTGCCACAGCTGTAGTCCATGTGAAACACTACCTCCCGATTGTCGGCACGGAGAATTGTGGCTGACGATTTGGAGTCATCATCCCAGTTCCATTCAAAATCTGAAAAAAGCAGCACATTTCTGAACCAAAGATATACATACTATGTTAATTCTTTTCCTGCTTACAAATGACCTTGAACCTCAAAATGAAGAAAGTGATCATTTAAATAGCAATATATACATGACTAACAGGGCTCGATTTAGTGCTTTGATACTTGCATTGGTGCAACCCAATATTACAAAATGCAACCTAGTTACTAGTCTGACTTGCACCAGGTGCAATTCAAGTTTCGAGAATTACCGTATATCAACAATAATTCTAACATTATAAGCATAAATATGTCAGCTCATATTTCTTCTAAACTTTGAATAGCTATGGCATCAAAACATTGTTATTTATAGACACCTCTTGGCTATGACAGCTCGAGTAAACATGAACCACCTGTGTCTCTGTGTTGCTATGGTTTCATGTGTACAACATCACTGAAATATGTTTATGTGCACCGAAACCTCTGAGCACACTACGTTGCAACTGGAATTTGGCTGGTGCAACTAGGTTTCTATCTTAGGTTGCACCTGGTGCAAGTAGGTTAACATCTCTTAACTTGAGCCCTGACTAATTGAACATGTCAGATAACCAGTACCCCTTCGTAGCGTTCGTAGCTCCTATACTGTAACATAGACTTATGACAGTCATAGCGCTATGATAGCTTTGTGAAACGGGCCCTGGATTATGATTATTACAACTCTTCATTCATTTTTTAAATAAACATCCGACTGGCCATTTCAATATTTCATTTGAATTCTTCCACTGTGGCATATAAAGCAAACACAAACTGGGACAACAAAACACATGTCTACTCGATTGCAACAACAAAACAATATTGTGTACAGTGTCATTATTGTGCACAGAATACCAGTAGGGAAAAATATTTATAAACAATCATGTTAGTCCTCATCGGTCAGATAACTCTGGATTTAGGTTCTACACTTGAACTGCTGTGAAATTTGGAAAATGACAAAGATTTCAACAAGAGGTACACATGTAAATATATACTCCTCACCAAAAGTTAAGCAACACAAAGTTGTAGTCTCATTACATTTTCAATTATTAAAATTGCAAATCATGGAATGATGCAATAGAAAGGTGAAACATATGTACACACGACTAACAAAATGAAATGAAATGGTATTGAGCAATAATAGATTTACAGATCATCAAAAGCATGTACCCGCGAAACAGTCGTGCAAAATGTGCTGCATTGATGGAGCAAAATGTTAACATTAACGTTCAAGTCTGTTTGGGACAGTGAAGCAGTGTTCAATAACACGTATGGCCACCATGAGCACAAATGCAAGCATCTACACGTCTTTGCATTGAGTTGCTTTATTTGCCTTTAAAGTTGCTGTTGTGGAATGTTCTGCCATTCTCTCTGTAACGTCTGCTCAAGGTCACCCAGAGTCTGGGGGTAAAGATAGAGACCGTAAACACGACTTCCAATGATGTCCCAAGCATGTTCAATGGGATTAAGTGACCTTGCAGGCCAGTCCATATGTGTAATGTTGTTGATCTAAACAACATCGTTAGCAACTCTTTCTCAGGCATTAACTTCCATGGACAGGCATTATCATCCATAAAAATGAAGTCAGGGATGGAAAAAACCCATTGCTCGACGTCCGAGTCCAGTGTTTTTTTTCTGTCAGGCAAGCAAATTTTTATATCACACTGTACCGGTGTCCAGTTGACTTTCCAATGTTAATTATGTTGTTTATTTAAAAAAATCAACAAGAAAACGACAAATTATCAGATCAAGTGATTTTACATGTGCCACTGTACCGGAGTACACTAGCAATTTCAAAGTTATTTCCACCCGTGGAACTTAGGACCCGCTTGTTGTACCAGGGGAATGATTACAGGTAGATTTACACCGGTCAGGATGCATGTGTGAAGAGTGGAACACTTTCATGCCACACATTTTGCATGTTGTTTCTGAGGATGGTTGTGTTCGGGTGATGTTGTCAGTGTTGTCAGATAAATCAATTTGACAGTCACTAAAATGTATTCTTTGAATATTTACCTTTCAGTAACATGTCGACAAATATCGCTATCAAGATTGATATAGATATTACACTGAAAATACTTGTTGCTTAATATTTTGTGAAGAGTATATATATATATTTATGCTCATAACACAATACAAATAAGTTCATAATGCCTTGGGGTACACTTGAAATGCACTCTTGAGTAGTTACTATACATTGTGCTTATTGTGTTGATGATTATATAAAGCAACAGATAAAATATTGCTCAGGTAAACAGGACAAACACAACTATATGATCTGTTTTTAGAGTGAAAAGTATTCTTCTATTTGTTGGGATACTAATTTCCTGAAGGTACACCAAAATTGTCTAATGAGTTAACTGTGGCTAACATAGAATATATGTCATGTTTATCTTTGACTCACAACTGATAGTCACTGAGATAAAAGGTTTATGATCGACCTGCATTTAGTCTTCCTTCCCTATCATTATCTATTACCATATATCCATTAGCCATGTTAGCTTGAAAAGTGTTACAAGTAGCAGTCTGAAACTGGTGAATTTATTCATATCATTGCAGACTCGTGTTGATCAAAATCATATCATTTATCATGTTTATCAATGTTTATACATGTAGTAGAATATCAAAGGACACTGATAATTTCCTTCTGGCGAAAGTACATCCATCACCATGATAACATGCATACTGACTCCTCAAATCCACAATGAGTATACATAATACTTGATCAAGTTGAAACATTGAACATATATCCAGTTTGTGTCCAAAACTTTTAGTCTCGTGACCTGAATGTGGCTCTATAAAAAGAAAAGAATTTCTGACTGTAAGAATCATTATTAGCTGAGATTATCATACTTATTTGACATAAATTACATAGAAATTAAAGGGGACAGTGCATATAATCTGTATATTTACTCTTACATGATAGATGATACACAAAGATATAGATGGAAAATACTGAGTCCAAATGTCTACGTATGAATATGATAAACATTTATGAAATATAAGGCTAAAACATCTTAAATATATCAGAAAATAACTCATCACTGTATACTCATGTTGATCGTAAAAAAACAACTGTCCCTCCCATTTTAGAAAAAAAACATGTTCTTTCCTCAAATCTTAATAAGTCTAATGCAACTATCAGAAAACCAGCTAAAAGACTAATGAAAGACCTACAGCGATCGTCTTCTCCACATCGACAATCCTTCTCCTTTCCTAACCGCAAACAATCACAAAACGTTTCAGCCTTTACTGGACGAGCTGTCGATAGTTCCAGGTCTCTCTCAGATGACTCTTGTATGCTCCTTGACCGCATAGGTCGTGACAAAGGTGCCTGTGAACTGTCTTCCCCTGGAGTGGAAGAACGGGAACTGGAGCTATCAGTCTCTACATTAGGTTGGGGTGGCAGTGCTTGCATTTGATGCACAACTTCTTGAGTCACAGGTCTGTCAATTCGCCCACATAATCGCACATCTGCTCCAGGCGCTAAGCTAGAATCTTCTGACATTTTGAAACGTGGGTATTGCAGAACATAAACAATGTGTCCTCCCGTGCAATTATCAACAATTTCGTCACATGAGAACAGCTACTGTCCAATATTTCTTTGCCAACACTGAGAGAAAAACACTACGCCATTTCTGTCAGTCAACAACAACTACTTCCGGTAAAGGTCAATGTCGTGTGATGACCTCTCAAACTCCCTGCAGTGTGAAATACAGTCATTGGACATAAGTATTCGTCACTGTGCGTAATTTTCATACACTTACATGTTAATTTGGTGCAGCTAGAAAAATTATCTTGAATTTATTTGTCGTTTGATCTTGTTTATATTTTGCACATGTGTCATGAATCATCTCAGCTGCAAAGACACAATTTCCGTTTTATTTTCCATTCAGTATTTCAAGAATGACTGCACTTTGATTGATCCGTGTCATGGTTAAGACAATTTTTAACATGGCGGTCTATGGGGAAAGAATACACAATGTTGTATATATGTTGTTCATGTAACTACAATGCGGAAAATACTTGAGGGAACATTACATGGAAATTATGTATCTGTGACCAAGATGATTTCCTAACAACCTGCAAAATTTGACAACCAAATAACGAAAACTGAATTAATGAAAATTATTACAGCTACACTAAAATAACATGCAAGTCAATGAGAATTTTGCCGACTGACGATTACTTATGACCCATGACTGTAGGTTGTCCCAGTACCGTTGTGTCATGTCACCTCATTGCGGCTGCGTGTAGATAGCCAAAATGGATTTGGCTTTCCTGGCAACAGTGCGTGAGTGTGGAATGTGGCTGTATACCGGCTATGCTGTCAAAACCTATTTAGTGATTCAAACAGGTTACCGTATTTAACAAAACAAGATATTTTCCTCATTATTTTATTCAGATCATATAACAGGGGTAATATCTTCACTCAGGTGTTGGAGCTGGGTTTTGAGGGATGAAATACGGACATCAATTGCTCTGTATCTTCTTCGTGAGGGTGCTGTCCATTGGTGAGACAGTCTCAGGACTGCAAGCTCTGTGAGTGACTGTTCACGCTGAAAGAGCTTATCTCATAGATGTTTGGGTGGCACTTCTTGACAAGTCTCTTTATCTTATTGTGCCATCCTTCTAGGTGATTGTTGGTACGTTGACCCTGGTTTTCAAAGCGATTCCAACACTGATGTGAAGGCCAGGGCCTAGATTAACATTAACTTACAATATTATAAATGGGGACACTCTTTTTTTTTTAATGTGGCTTTCTCGGCTAGACACCTTAAGCTGAGAAATATCACAATGTTTAGCTTAAAAGCAAACAACAAAAAAAACCCCGAAAATTCATGTTTGACGATATCACTTAATCCAAAATCCATATACAATGTAATTGGTCCAAGCTAAAACTGCATAACTGCAAAACGTCAGACTTCTTTATGGCGAAAACGTCTTTTGAAGGTCACGCGAAAATGACACATTATGTCACAAGAGTCATCAGAAGATGAGGACCTAACAAATTCGAATGAACAAATAATCAGCGTATACTGATTGTACATCACGTTCCGCAAAAGTTACTTGTAATACTTTATGAAAATAGAACAATCAAAACCATGGAATGATTGGCCGGCTGGTTGGTTTGTTGTTTAACGCCGCACACAGCTATATTCCAGCTACATGGAGGCGGTCTGTAAATAATCGAGTCTGGACCAGACAATCCAGTGATCAACAGCATGAGCATCAATCTACACAACTGGGATACGATGACATGTGTCAACCAAGTCAGCAAGCCTGACCACCTGTTCCCGTTAGTCGCCTCTTACGACAATTAAGCATGGCTTGCTGAAGATGCATTCTAACCCGGATCTTATCATGGAATGTGGGATTCCGAACGTTGTATCGCTGTCCTGCAGATATTTTGCATAGATATGACTTGATTGATGCACGTCACACAAAAACTGAAGCTCTGTGAAAAATTCATCGGCCAGTTTATAATTTTGTCACTGTGGGTGCGTAAAGATTGAAAACGGATAGTTTGGGATAAAAGATCAGAAACAAACACACCCCTTTGAATAGAGACAATTTAAAGTCAAACTTGTCGATTCCTGATGACATTCAAAGATAGTTTAATCCTATTGTCCAACTTAATATAATATCCATAAACTTCTACACGCTGATTGTCATGAAATGAAATATCGAAAGAAAATGGTATTATCTCAGTCATTTCCTGCTCATACCTTTGAATATATAAGGTACAAAGTTCGGAGCTCTCGCGTGTGTTCGTTTTGTCACGTGACTAGATCATGTGATCAAGATTCCGTACACAATGTCATAAACACATGATCATCCCCTAATCGGAAAGGGAACTGTATTTTCAACGTTTCTTGGTATATAGAAGGGTTCAGGTAAACTATGCTTACTTTTTAGCATTGAAGTAATGTGTATGATACTCATCTTTCCTGCATTAGTGAGCTGTTGATCAATCTACATGAAATTTCAGTGCATGGATACTCCAGCCGTAGGTGCTTGTGTACGCGCGTTTTAGGCGTTAGGTCTCATTATTACAGTGTATTACCAACCTGATCAATACAAAACTTGATCACACATTATTTCATTTCCGTTAATTTCCTTTTTAGAATCATTGTAATTATTGAATAAGGGCATTGACAATGTTTGCATTTCGATTGACAAATCCCCAATGTATCGATATAATAAAGTAGATTCGTCGGTGGATCTACATACACTAGCTGTAATAAGAAGTTTGGAATGTGATGCAACACTAATGGGTTAAACTAGAAATGTAGTTATCCAGACTCTTTGACAGTGAGCAGTTCTTTATCAGATTATTTTCAGGATTTACTTATTCATATTACTGTTAATCTAATAATTGTATCATGTATGCCTTCACATGCACTTTGTCCCCAATCAGAGGTAGCATGTTAGTCATAAAGAGTAGATGCGTGGGGGACTGAGTGTACTAGTGTGATGCCTGAAAATTTCATGGGATTTAACTGGTTCTGCCCAACACAGTTTATATGTTTCCTGAGGCAAGTTTGAAATATACCTCTGCATCACTTAGGGCTGTTGCTGTGCCTAGTGGTTAAAGCGTTCACTTGTCACGCTGAAGGCCCGGGTTTGATTCCCACCTTGGGTAAAATGTGTGAAGCCCATTTCCTGTGTCTCCCGGTGTGATGTTGCTGGAATATTGTGGCATAAAACCATACTCACTATTCACTTAGATTGCTTGGGTTGTACACTCCCCTGGGAGCTGAGAATGACGTTTCCCATGCACATATGTCTATTTACTAATAATAATTGATTTATAGAGCGCCTATTTCCAAAAGATATTGCTCAATGGCTCTATGAAAAGAAAAGATTGTAGACAATGTCTATGGAAAAGAGAGTTTGAACAGATGAGTTTTGAGAGCAGTTTTGAAAGCATCAGCAGATTCTATTTCTTTTAGGGTGAGTGGTAGAGTGTTCCAGAGATAGGGGGCTGCAGCAGAGAACGCTCTTGATCCCATGGCTGTTTTGACGTGAGGCTGTGTAAGCAGTAGGGAGTTTGACGAGCGGAGCAATCGGCTTGGAACATGGAGATGAATGAGGCTTTTAAGATATTGAGAAAACATGTTTTCACAGATGCAGCTGTGTGTAAGAAGAAGAAGTTTGTATTGAATTCTGCTTGATACAGGAAGCCAGTGAAGAGTTTGGAGGATAGGTGTCACAGTTTGGTAGCGTGGTGCACGGGCAACAACACGGGCGGCTGAACTGGAAGTGTTAAATATGTAGTGCTGTGAGCATACGTCTGCAGAGCTTCAACCCACAAGAGGTAGCATGTTAGTCATAAAGAGTAGATGCGTGGGGGACTGAGTGTACTAGTGTGATGCCTGAAAATTTCATGGGATTTAACTGGTTCTGCCCAACACAGTTTATATGTTTCCTGAAGCAAGTTTGAAATATACCTCTGCATCACTTAGGGCTGTTGCTGTGCCTAGTGGTTAAAGCGTTCACTTGTCACGCTGAAGGCCCGGGTTTGATTCCCACCTTGGGTAAAATGTGTGAAGCCCATTTCCTGTGTCCCCCGGTGTGATGTTGCTGGAATATTGTGGCATAAAACCATACTCACTATTCACTTAGATTGCTTGGGTTGTACACTCCCCTGGGAGCTGAGAATGACGTTTCCCATGCACATATGTCTATTTACTAATAATAATTGATTTATAGAGCGCCTATTTCCAAGAGATATTGCTCAATGGCGCTATGAAAAGAAAAGATTGTAGACAATGTCTATGGAAAAGAGAGTTTGAACAGATGAGTTTTGAGAGCAGTTTTGAAAGCATCAGCAGATTCTATTTCTTTTAGGGTGAGTGGTAGAGTGTTCCAGAGATAGGGGCTGCAGCAGAGAACGCTCTTGATCCCATGGCTGTTTTGACGTGAGGCTGTGTAAGCAGTAGGGAGTTTGACGAGCGGAGCAATCGTCTTGGAACATGGAGATGAATGAGGCTTTTAAGATATTGAGAAAACATGTTTTCATAGATGCAGCTGTGTGTAAGAAGAAGAAGTTTGTATTGAATTCTGCTTGATACAGGAAGCCAGTGAAGAGTTTGGAGGATAGGTGTCACAGTTTGGTAGGGTGGTGCACGGGCAACAACACGGGCGGCTGAACTGGAAGTGTTAAATATGTAGTGCTGTGAGCATACGTCAGCAGAGCTTCAACCCACAAGAGAGAATAAGGCTTGAGATGCGGGGGTCCAATGGTTGCAGGTCCTGGCGGGTCCTTGATGGAACCAGGTGTGGGGTTCCGACCAACGTTTAATTGCAAATTCCTTTCTCAGACATGTGACTGAAAACAATATAATCAGTCGTATTTGTGTGATTTTAAGATATTTTGCCTATGAACCCAGTTTGACGTGAGATTTATCTGTTTTGACGTGAGGTTTATCAGTGTACTTTTAACTTGAGGTTTATCAGTTTTGTCATGGGAGCGTGACGTGTGATAAAAGGGTGAATCTCAAGCCAAAGGTGTGAGAGTTGGCCGGTAAGCATCAGTGGTAGGACTGGGCACATCACTAATCTAATCAGGGTTTTAGGTACACTAAACAAGAACTCAATAGTAGTGTTCAGGTCACAGCAAGATTGCCTGAAGTTAAGTTTCCCCTTCATGCACAGCGTATCAACATTTTTGTTGTTTGTTTTCAGCATTGCTCACTTCTCGGGTTGGTAAACCTTCCAATTCATTTTAACTCTTGTTTATGTTAGGGAGGTACTGACAGCTGAGGGTGGGTTTGGTCAAGCAGTGTTTCCCGAATGGTGTTTAAAAGTAACAGGACATTGGGTCCTGTAAGTTTCAGTTGGCTGTCTGATCCACTGAATATTCACAGGACCCATAGTATAAAAATTAAACAGACATTTCAGATTTATCATTCCTTGTAATTGGCATTGAAGTTATTTTAACAAATGTAAAATTTATAAACAGCAAACAAGTGTCACATGTCACATATAACACCTTCAGTCAAAGTCATTGTGAAATATACAGTCGGACACAGGGGCCGGTGGGTTGTAGACTTCCATCAGATCGTCGCAGATCAGCCGGATTTGTCCGAGGGTCTGACGCGACTCATAAACACTGGTCAAGTAGTACCTTCAACAAATTTGTTCTTTCATTTTTTCAGTTAACTGACCCAAAATGTTTAATATAGAGGCACATGGTAGGCTTTTGGCTAAACACATAGAGGACTCGATATTCGTTATATTTCAGTAATAGTTTGGTGATTTCAATGAGAACAACCCTCTTCATTAAATTTGCAGCCTTTGGGTGGGTTATCTAAAAAGTTGACATCCCTCATCAGTGGGATACCTCTCACACCTATCCCTCAAGTGTCAAATATTTTGGATATGTGGAAAAATACCAGCTTCCCCAAGCATGAACTTTATTTCCTCTGTTAAGGGCAGAGTTCCTTAGATTAATTTTGTACTAGAGGCCAGCATGTTTGAAGGCCTGACCTTTATTTGGTCAGTGATTGTTTTCTTGTTTGTTTTAAAATACCTCAGCAATATTCATTCTATCTGATTATAGGCTGTAAATAATCAAATCTTGACCAGACAAGCCTGTGATCATCACCAATAGTATGCACACCAATGAACTCTTTCTTTTTCAACTGTATTTAATCATGCCAATTTTACCGTCTTAGAAAACTTAAATACTCTGAATACAGACCAGCAGAGATATTGAGAGGAATTAGGGTACATGTGATTTGTGTGACGTGTGGCTGATAACAGGGGTTTTAGTAAAAGGGGCATACATGTGTAGCTCTGTCAGGATAAGAATTTCAGATAGATGACTTGTCCTGCTAGCAATCAGTGCAAATAACGAGTCACACTCTGCATATATAGAGAATACTAAACGATGTCCCGTGTAATACCATATTTATGAAACGAGTGAATGGTTTGGTATCTAACTAGGGAAAGCGAGTTAGATACCAATACCATTCACAAGTTTCATAAATATGGTATTACACGGGACATAGTTTAGTATTTTATTTATTACTCACCCAACATTAGCAAAATAATATCGAGCAAAGTACTTCTTTCCAAAGAATTCAACGAGAGTGATGACTCTCAGCTTTCCGCGAGTCAAGTAAGGTCTAATACCATTGTGACAGAGGTATTAGCATTGTAACGTCATAACTGTAAGCCAGTTTTATGTCATACGTACGGCATTACACAATGTGTAATAACATTGTACAATTATTGTACAGTGATATCTTTAACGGTTGAGTAAAAATATGTGTAATAGTTAAATGACTAAGCCAAAAGCTTACAAAATTGAAGCAATTTATTTGTCCTTTTCTGGTAGCTTATAAATGAATGTTGAATATACATATCACTGGCAGATCCAGGACTTTGAAGAGAGGGGTGCACATTTATCATGAAGTCCAAATGATAGGGGAAATGTTCCTCAGGGAAAAATGTTTTCGTGGGAGAGAGATTCACCCACTCACTAAGATTCACCCACTCACTAACTCATGCACATACACACACACACATGCACACTCTTCAAGGCAACAACAAACAGATATACATTACAAACAGTAAAGGAACTCCTGCATAGTGTCTGCCAGCGATTATTATACAAGCTCTTGTGCTGTGGAAGTGAAAATATTTTCATGTGATGAATAACATATAAGAAAGCTTTGAAAATAGGAAATTTTCTTTCATAAGGACCCATTAACATTAGATGCGCTGCTTTTGGGAGAAAAAGAGGATATTATATGAGTGCCCATGTCATACTATGTTTACGACACGAGTGCCTAAATGTTGGTATTTCCCGAGCGAGGGATATACCGATATTTAGGCACCAGTATCGTAAACATAGTATGATATGGGCACGAATATAATATTGTGT